ATCTTAAAAATATAACAAATATTAAATTCGAAGTACAATTAAACTAGTGAATTTCAAATACAAATCTAACAAATCGAACTACAATGTAACAATTAAATTCGAACAATTAAATTGACTAGAATGTAACAATTAAAATGTACCAATTAAATTAACTTTTATTATAAAATTTGAACAACTTCAATATAAATAACAATTAACTAGTTCAATAGGAGAAATTTTAACTAGACATTAAATGTAACAATGCAATGAAATTTAGAGGAGAATAATAAATGTAACAATGAATTAACTATTTTGATAGGAGAAATTTAACTACTTTTATATTAAGTGTATAAGTAGATAAAGTAAATATATATATTTAAAAGTAGATAATAAGTAGATTAACTAGTAATATATAATATTATGTTTATAGTATATATAATATAAATATATGACTATAAGATGAGGAATACACTTAATATATTAAGTAGATAAATTTTCGAACAACTATAATATAATTAACAATTAACTAGTTTGATAGGAGAATAATAAATGTAACAATTAACTAGTATTAGAGGAGATTAAGAAATGTAACAATTAACTAGTTTAACAAGTAAACAATTAATTTCGAATTCTTGTCTAACAAATTTTAATGTAACTATTTCCAATAAACTAACAACTACCAATTAACCACTTATATAGCAATGAACTAATACTAAAAGTCTAAAATGATAAGTGAAACAATTAACAACTTTTATATTAATGAAGAATGTATTAGTGTGTAAACAAAATTAATGGGAATGTTTGATAGGAGAATAATAAATGTAACAATTAACTAGTATTAGAGGAGATTAAGAAATGTAACAATTAACTAGTTTAACAAGTAAACAATTAATTTCGAATTCTTGTCTAACAATTTTTAATGTAACTATTTCCAATAAACTAACAACTACCAATTAACCACTTTTATAGCAATGAACTAATACTAAAAGTCTAAAATGATAAGTGAAACAATTAACAACTTTTATATTAATGAAGAATGTATTAGTGTGTAAACAAAATTAATAAGTAGATAATATTATGTTGATAGTATATATAATATAAGATGACTAACAAGATGACTAACACACTTATATATGTAGTAAATATATATTTATAAGTAGATAATAAGTAGATAATATTATGTTAATATTACTACAAGATGACTAACACACTTATATATTATACTTTAATATATAAGTATATTACTATAAGTTGAGTAATACACTTATATATTATACTTTAATATATGTATAACTAATATAAGTATATATTAAGTATATGTAATATGTGAATATAAGTAAATAAATATACTTATATAAGTAACAATAATATAATAATTAGATATTAATATAAGTAGATAATAAATTATATAAATATAATATATGTAGTAATAAATTTGAGAAATTGAGAAGATGAAGATGGGAAAGATTAATAGAGAATAGAGATTAGAGATTTAGAGAGTAGAGATATTTGGAGAAGATGTGTAGTAAAGTGTATAGAAAAAATGGAGTATTTATAGATATTTAGTACCCCACCCCCACCCCCCACCCCCCCCACCCCCCACCCCCCAACCCGGGACCCCCTGGAAGGCTCCCAACGGCTATAGAGCCGTTTGGGTTGAAAGCCAACGGCCATAAGGCCTGTTTGGCTGAAAAACAAAATTTTTTTTTTTTTTTTAAAAAAGTAACCGTTAGGCCCGACCCGGGCCCGAACCGGCCGGGCCGGGCCACCAAACAAATGAACCGGACCCGAACCGCCAAACCCCCCCGGGCCGGGTCAAAGCCCGAACCGGTTCACCAGTCCCGGTTCCGGGCCGGGCCTGCACAGTGGCGGGCCGGGCCGGTTCCGGGCCGGGCCGGCCCGGTTGAGTCCATCCCTACGTCCATATATTCAGTTACCTCTAGTGGCAAAAATTTGGCGAAATCAAAATTGAAAGAAGAAACTGTTGTTGACCAAACGATTATATTTAATTTCTTTTTCGTATCATAGATGCAGTCAAAGAATTCATTTAGAAACATCATAAATAAGTTACTACGGAGTATATACTAATATATACGTAGTAATAATAATATACGGATTATATACTAATATACGGAATATATACTAATATGTTAATACGGAGTACTACTAGTATATGTACTATTGAAAACCTAAATTTAGATGGTAACAGGGGCGGAGCCAGGACAATGGGCCGGACTGGGCCGGTACGAAGATTTTTTTTGGAAAAAATTTCACAAGGAATTTTTTACACTAAAAATATAGAGATTTTTAAAATTTGGGCTGGGCCAGGGCCAGGGGTGGCCACCCCCTAGCTCCGCCCCTGGGTGGTAAGAGTCAGATTGGTACTCGAAGTTGCATAAAAAGTGTAAAATAAGTCCTTATTGTCCGGCCGTCACCATTTGAGGCCGTTCCCGGTGGAATTTTTTGATGAATTTTTTTAAGAATATTATTCATTAAGTCTAGTGTACTCATACCAAATTTAAGCTAAAACTTCAATCAAGAAGGTATTCAAATGAATTCTTGAAGATAAGTGCGCTTTTAGCTGCGCAGTTATCTTCAAGAATTCATTTGAATGCCTTCCCGATTGAATTTTTAGCTGAAATTTGGTATGAATAAACTAGACTTAATGAATAAGATGTCCATAAACATTCGTCAAAAAAATCCATCGGGAACCGCCCCAAATGGCGACGGCCAGACAGAGACTCCTATATAAGGCCGGACTCATTTGACTCTTTTTATGCAACTTCGAGTACCAATCTGATCCGTATCTCCTAAATTAAGGCATCACTATATATTTTTTTTTAATGAAAGCAATTTGAAATTTAGTAAATTCAATTTAATGGGAGGTTCTGAAATTTGACAATTTGAAAAATGGTTAAATTAATTATTAAAATGCATATACTAAACGGGAATATATTAGTAATAAAGGTAAAATGAGAGTATTATTAGACTTTAATTATAAATTAATATAGTCGTGACATGTGATCACAAGTGAATAATAGATTGACACATGGCAATATCATTCTTCACTCCAAATTATATAGATATATACATCTATCTTCTAATGTCCAACACTAGTTGAACAAATTAGGAATTAAAAAAATAACCAAAACCCAACCCAGCCAGGGTTCAGGGACCAACTATGTACCACCGATACGAGTACGCGGAAACACAAAAACGCGGACACGGGTACGGGGATACGACAAAACCAAAAAAAAGTAGGATACGGATACGAGGCCATATTTATAAATATTAAAAGTTATGGGTGTGTATTTATAAATATTAAAAGTAACAGTGTACATTTATAAATATTAAAAATACAATTTTTTGAAAGAAAAAAAATAGACATATATTATCCTTTGATATCTACTCATTCATGACATTGAAACATTTTACATTTTCAAAATACTTAGAAATAAATTCATATTTTATCCCATATACACTAGTGCACCTTGCAATATAAATATAGTCAATAAGTCATTAATTTTAAAAGTGCAAGTACTCAAAGTTCTTTAATAATGAAGATAGAATATAATATTTTAAAAGTTCTAATACATATTTCCGTTGGAGATATTAATTTACAGAGATAATTAAAATCAGAGATAGAAGGATAAATGAATTAGGAATAAGCTCATTAGTTGTGTACCACATAAAATCAAGGTAAACATTATTTTTACCTTTTCATTTTTTAAGAATTTTATTATGTAAATTTTGAGTGTTTCTTAAAAAGTATTGTTTTGGAAGATTTTTTTTTAAAAGTTAATACGGGTATCCGTCAGGATACAAGTATCCGAAATTTTAAAATAATTACCAAAAAATGGAAACTTTTAAAAATTGCAGATACGCCCCGGGAATGTACGGTACGAATAACCAAGAGACCTAGAGTATCGGATACGAGAACGTTTCCGATACGCCAACACGACGCCCAAGTAAAGTATCCATGCTTCACAGGGGACCAATGCCCGGCTTGGTAGTTGGTACCCAAACCAATACCAATAAGGAAGCATATCGGGCCAGTACCAGGCTCCACATTTCCAAAACGTGTACCACCTAGGTACAACCCAACCCAAGACCCAAGTCTACACCAAACCCGGACCAATACATAGGGGTGGACTCGGGTCGGGCCGGGCGGCCCGGCCCGGCCCGGCCAGAGAACCGGCCCGAAACCAGCCCAGCCGGGTTACTATTTGAACCGGCCCGGCCCGGGAACCGGTCCGGGGGAGCGGTTCGGATTGACCCAGCCTGGAAGGTATGCGATTTAGGCTCGGGCCCTAGGATTGGTGAACCAGCCCGGCAAGTTCGGGCCAGGCCAATTTAATTTTTTTTTTTTGAGTTTTTTTTAAGTTTTTGGATTGGACTGGATATTTTGGGCCATTTGAGGTGGTTTGGGGGTGAGGGGGAGGGTTGGAGGTTAATTAGGAAAAGCCAAAAAAATAGAACCAAGGCCCAGCCCGGATCCGGGGTTACCCGGGCCAGTTCCGGGCCTCCCATTCCTGAACCGAGGCCCAACCAGGCCCAGGCCCAAACCGGCCCGAGTCCACCCATACCAGTACAAGATAGAAAGAACCTGGCCAGTTCCGGTTCGGGCCTAGGCCCAGCCAGGCTTTTCAATTTTCTTTTGATTTTCTAATTAGCACCCACCCACCCCCCTCACCCCCACCCCCCAAAACACCCAGCCCAACCTGGTAGAAAGTAGAAATAAAAAAATTGAAAAAACCAAAAACAAAAATATTTAGGACCGAACAGGGCCCACACCGGCCAGGACAGTTCGCAATTTAGGGGGCCCAAGCCCGCCGATGGATTGTAGCTGTTTGGTAAGCCCGAACCAGCCCGAACTCCCGAAGACTGGTTTACCAGGCCAGGGGCCCAGGCCATGTACAAATAGTACCGGTCCATGCCGGTTCCGGGTGGCCTGACCAGAGTCTGCCACTAGTACAGGAGCACATTTATGATTTAATGAAATATGCTATCAAGACTCAAGAGGGCAGGAATAAATGAAGGCAATATAACAAAAGAGCAATTTCGAACAAAACAAAACTGTTCCCAGCACGGCAAAAAAAAAAAAGATCCAAGAAATAAATAAAAGTTGTAAATGGAAGTGCCTAAATTCTATAAGTCGAACAAGAGCAAGAAAGTCAAAGAAAGCTGAGAAGAGACCTGGGATGGTATCTAGATGTGTACACTATTAAAAAGAGAGTTTAAAATTCGGAAGATAATTGTAGTTATAAAAAACAACCAGCAGTTCCATGAGGTTCTTCCATATCTCAGCCGAAGCAATAACAAGGTAGGAGGGAAGGACATTCTCTCTTTTAGCTCACTTTGAACCCAAGGTTGGGAACTGCCCCACATCTTCAATAGATGGGGCATCAACACCCGACCGGTTTCCAACATACCCACTACCTCGACCAGAATCACCAAATCGGCCACGACCACCACGGCCCCCCCTTCCACGACCACCGGGCCGATAATAGTTTTCTCCTTCCGCAGGTTTCAGAAACTCAGTAATGTTTTTAGTCTGGACAAAATAGCAATAAGTTAAAATGTTAGTATCTAGAATATTTAAAGTATATGATTTACATTGAGATGGACTAAAAGAAAATCACCCCTAGATACTCAAAAAAGTATTGATGTTAATTTTGAAGTTGACAACAAAAAACAGAGAAACGTTTCCTGGTTTTCAGACTTTTCTTTTGCTTTTCATAAAAAGAGAACAGAAACACTACCACATGAGACATAATGTCCGACTTGTAAATAGTGATGAAAGTGGGAGGGACATTCAAGTGTGCACACAGAGCAAGATGCACATGATACAGTAACTGGATATCTCATGTTTCCATATTTATTGGTCAGATCCAAACCCAAAGTCAAGTCTGTTCAGATAGGAGGTGGTGAGGTTTTTTCAACATTAAAGTAAGGACAATTGTGTATGGCTATGGCCATAATTAATGAAGAAAGATTAGGGCATTGAACCTAAGCAAATTTTTCATTTAATATCTTTTGCTTTAAAAATATCTGGTTAAAAATGTAGTTCATACTAACAGTTCATACTATATTTGTACAGCATTTTGGGAGTTATTTAAAAATAAATAAAACTTTTTTAAAGCTCAGTAGCTTCAAAGAAAAAGTATTTTGCCTTTGATCATTACTTACAATTTAAGATAGTTACAACTTGTTCTACCAACCGCGATTACACCAAACACTCTGTTTTTATCAAACTGCTGTGATCTTTTCATTTTATGACCATTTTTTGTCCTAAACGCCAACAGTTACTAAAATGCTTCAAAAATATTTTTTTGGTCATGTTTTGCAAAACATATACGTAAACCATGGATGGCTAGAAGTCTAGATCTCTATCAATTCACAAGAAAAATGTGCACGACAATAAATATTACCTTTTTGGCCTTCTCTCCAGCTTCTTTCTTTTTTTCCTTGTCAGATCCCTGAAATGGTTCCAAATCATTTTACTCTCAATATCATAATATAGCAGAAATGATCTAAATACTTACAGAAATGCTTCTAGAACTTTCACATTTGTTATATAAAACTCACCAGTTTGACAAATATGACATCATCATCATTCTTCTTGTTTGAAAGAAGCTGCATTGATTCAAATTCCTTGTCGAAGTCTACTTTTCTCTCCTCAGGTTTCAATGCAAGCAAGGCCTTCCGTTTCTCCTCCAGCAGCTTTTCGTATTCATCAAGTGTCATCTCCTAGGGATTGATAATCCAAGTGCAAGAAAGTTAATCCAACACAAGTGCAGGAAAGATGACCAAATTAATCAATTAAACTTTGGAAATTACTTGAAGATATAATGGTATTTAAGATTAAAATGCCTCATAGCAAATCTTCAAATCACAGTTAGAAAGAGTGTAATAATAAACCAAAAATCAACAAGGAAATAAATTCATATTGAGCACACAATGAAAAAATGGATCATCAGATTTTTACTAAAAATTAATAGTTGTGGTAACTCTTCTATACCAAATCAAAGATAAGAAAAGTGCACTTAAAAGATTATCAGAAAATAAATTGACAGATATTATGTCTTATATACAAACTTAGAAGGGAAAAAAAGAATTCACTTTCCACGAAGGCTCAGAGGTTCAAAGAAAACACTTCGTAATATTTTCTGGTTCCACACATCAAATAAGAAAGTTTTGACAAACAGAGCTTTAAATTAAGAATAGAAAATTATATATTAAACTGATGTAGGGTGAAAAGAGCAGAAACTATTAAAACTTAGTTAGCAAATACACTGCCATTACATTGATCATACAAGCTTTGGCATATCATTCTACTCCCAGTGAATATTTCTCAGCCAACAATGTTGGTTACCGTAAAAGAATTACAATACCTTTTCCTCGGGCTCTTTTTCCTCTGATTCATTTGGTGCAACATCCTTACTGGCATCCCCAGCATCTTCCTGATTATGTTGTTTCTCAGTTTCAACAGACTTCTCAACCTCAATAACAGGCTCTTCAGTTTCTCTGAAGTACGAATAAAAGAAAATCAACCTTCCATAAACAATGGGCAGAGAGAACAACATGGGAAAGAACTTAAAGGAAAGAAAAGGCAAGGGTAAATAAAAGATGATATACACAGTGAGCATATTTGCTTCAAATAATTGTTATTAGTCATTTTATGATGTTATATTATCTTTGATTTTTTCAAGGTGTGCAACTAAGCATGAGAATAACTTCCCTTGTCACTTTTTTCTTTTCGATAGCAATATCCAGGGCCCCAACATACCCAAAAGTGTGATGACAGTGTCCAATTCCAATTCCAATGCCTACTAAAATTCATTCTTATTCATAAGCTAAAGGTAATTCTTACTGGGCTATCTCATCTGTTGGAGTTCCCCAGTTTGCACGGCCAGCACCCTCACGTTTAAATTCATTCCTACAACAAACCAAAATTACAAAAAAGAGTTACATACGCAAACAAATGTAGAGAAGAGTGCAAGGCCAATGCAATAATATCCTCAACAGAATGGGCCACATCAGCCAAAACTTCAGCAGCAACTTCAGTGGGTTCTGCTGTTTTAGTCATTTAAAGGGTATCAAACAAGCTCTAGTAAATACTAAATACTCACCCACGTCCAGTGCCGCTTCGTCGTTCGTATACCCTACGCGGACGTTCTCCATCAACATCTTCAACACCAGCTCCGAACCCGCCACGTCGAACTCCACGAAAACCTCCACGAGGTCCACCAGCATAGTCTCCCCTCTTTTCATATGTTTTCCCACCTTCTCCGTCTTCAGGAGGTCTATATCCTCCTGAAAAGCCATTGTTTCCACCAAAAGAATTTTCATTGTCTGACTCGTTATTGAACGATCGCCCACGGCCACCACGGCCACGCATTCCACCACGGGAGCCACTGCGTCCTCCTCCCCTCTGATATTCATTTCTTACTTCCCTAACTGCACAAGATTTTAACGAAAGTAATGAGTATTGATGTTAAAAAATGAGAGTAATGAGTATTAAAAAATGCATGTAATAACATTTGTCTTGATAATGCTTACTACATTTATTCCACTTTTTGTTAAAATTTATTTTCAGTTAGTGCCAAAAATATGAACCCACTAAGTTTTTAGTATCCCATTTGGGCATTGCAATTGTAAAAGAACATGTCAATCCTTTATTGTGTTTTAAATTGGTTGCTTTTCCATTAAAAATTTGATTATGTAACCGACTAATTTAGAAGCTTTGTTTGTAGGGCAAAAGCAAAGCAAAGAGGGCATACAGAAATTTTTACACTTATATGTAGTTTATTCTAATGCATTATTACACATAATAGTAATTTAGCGTTTTATTATACTAAACTGAATTATTGTGAACTTCTGTGAAGGTGTTTTCTTAGATTGATAGCAAATAAAGAACATGTTTTTACATAAGGGTTAAATAATTTTGTATGTGTGAAGTAGAACAATGTAGTGTCAGTGAACCAATTATTTGATACAATGCACAAGATGTAATGGACCCCATCCTTCTGAATAATATTGATGATATCAATGAGCTGTCAGTTTGATGAATGGAGGTAGACTATGAAGAAGAAAATGCATTGGTTTTTGAAGATAACAATTTGTTATGGCTTCTTATAGGTCTACGAATGGTAAAATATCTAACTGGCTCAATCTTTGATAGCAAATTTAAAGGTTCTACATATATACATACATGCCACGATTAAAAATATGGACACAGACTTCATAGTCCGCATTCAAACGAATAAGAGAATGAAGCACATTTCAAGATGAAAAAAATCAACAGCTTGGTTAAGCAACCTGAAGTTGAATGCAATTACAGATACAATAACTTTCTCATTCAAATCCAACTCATTTCACATCATTAAAATCACGAACCAGTTGCAAAAGAAACACCTGATTACGATTAATTCATACATGAATACAGGAAAGTAGGTCATGGTGATTACCGGCCTCAGACGGGGGTAGAGGCTTAGTGGGCATCTTGGCGAGGGCCTTAGCAGGCTGGACCTGAGCAGGAGCCTTTTTGGAAGCCGGAGCAGAAAGAGGAAGCTTAGCGACGAGCTGAGATAGGTCATCGGTGTCATCGTCAACCAGAAGGTCAAACGGGTTCAGGGTCGTCATCTTTCTTACTTGAGCGTAGAGATAGATACAGAGATGTATCTAAACCCTTGAATCCTCAGCAGAGATTACAGACAATTATGAAACGAAAGACTAGTTATTGGAGTCCATGGGAACGATCAAAGACTAATAACAGAACAGGGAAGGATGATAGAGAGAGGAGCAAGAAGAAATTGAGAGAGAAACAAAGGCGGAAGTGGTAGAGTGAAGTAGAACCTGATCTTAAAAAGAACCCTAGCGGTGGGAGAAATCTATGCGCAAGTCTTCTCTAGTACTCCGTATTGCGTTTTCATGGGCCGTCTTTCGGACCAAAGAATTTCACATACTGGGCTCTGTGATATATTCCCTTTCGGTGAAGATAAATGGGCAAAGGAATATGTTGTCTTGGGCATATTGGATGGATGCTAAGTTTTAGAGAAATTTTCTACCCAAGAAGAAAATGATAGACAAGATGATATCAGTTTTTTCAATTATAGATTTGGTTTTTCCATCAAAAAAACTTAGAGATTTGGTTTTCAAAAGTAAGATGCGGAATATTTCGTTTTCAAAAATAACCCCATATACCAGTGAATATAGGGGATATGAGGATCCAACAGAATTAGTGAATATATTTGAATTGAAATTTAGTTTCCTTTTGTTTATTAGTTGTTCAATTATATGCTAAGATTTACGAAATAACCTTATTAATGAATGAATAATGTTTTTGTGTGTCCACATAATACTACTATGTACATTTATTCATACTTGAATAAGCTAGAACGATGTGTATTGTTAATAACAGGGAACACGGAAATAGTGTCTATTTTTGTTCGTCATGGTGGTCATTGGAATGAAGCAATGGAATATGATAACTTCAGTGTTTTTGGAATTACTTTATATACACACAGTTCCTTTTTTGAGTTAATTGCAAAGCTAGTTGATGAAATCGGAATACAAACACCATCGACTCCGTTGATAATTTAATACAAATTCAGACATAACTATCCATCGTTGATGATACAATATAATTTAGCTCTGTTGTTTTATTTACACCTAAAGAAGCAAGATGTGACAAAATTTCCTCTATGCATCACCTTTGCTGATGTACACGAGGAAACAAATTGCAACATGTTTCTTGAGCCATATCAACAAGATGAAACAACACCTGGGATGCAAGCAGACATACTGTCAGCCGAAGACAACTCAACAATTAGTGATGAATTGGACGCTTATGCATGGCCTGGTTATATATTACATTGGGAAAATAAAACAATGGATGCAGTACTACAAGAAAAATGTGTGGAGTCAGAATCAACAAAGTGCAACAACAATGATGTAGATCCCGAAGAAGAACTTATTTACATCAACTGTGTTGACTTCAAGAAAGCACCGAATTTTTATGCTATAAAAAATCACTTCCAGTACAAGAGAGATAAGGTAAATAAGAAAGCATGTGTACCAAAATGCTTGGATGAAGACTGCAAATGGATTATCTGATCAAGAAGAGCCAGAACATTAGGAAGGTTTACTGTTACCAAGTTTATTAAAACACATTCTTGCAAATTGGAAGTAAGATTAACTAAGGCATGCAACTGCTAGTTTGGTAGCAGACTGTAGTAAGTCTAAATATTGGGTCCGAAAACGTACAAAGAGATATGTTACAACTAGAAGACACTGAAGTATGGTGTTGAATAAACTACTTGAAAACTTGGAGAGCAAAGGAAAAGACACTAAATAAGCTGAGGGGAAAACCGGAAGAGTCCTACATACGAATTTCTGCCACACTTCTTGAACATTATGAAACAATCAAATCCGGGATCATTTCTGGAACTCAAGGTTAATGAAGACAACACTTTCTTATACGTCTTCATGGCAATCGACGTATCAATTAAGGGGTGGCAATTTTGCATACCATTTATTGTAGTTGATAGCACGTTTCTCACTGTGAGATATGTGGGCACACTGTTAACAACATCAACTCAAGATGCATGTGGTAAAATATTTCTACTTGCATGAGAGTATGACTTTGGAGAGACCAAAGTGGAGGGCGCACATTCGTGTGGACGATTGATTTCTTTTCTATCTTTCCTCTCTCATTTTCTTCTATCGTTTATCTTCTTTATCATCTTATGTTCTTATGTTTTTCTTCTTCTTCTTCTTCTTCTTCTTCTTCTTCTTCTTATTGTTGTTTGTCTTCTCTTATTGGCATCGATATCATGGATCAATTCATGTTAGCTGACCCCAAAATCTGTTGGGATTAAGGCTTGGATGTTGTTGTTGGTGGTGGCGATGACAATGAGTATCTTCTTCCGCCAGTTGCATCACCTCTTAAATCATTAAAAATTGTCCAGACTTACACATGCAATAAATATAGTTAGGGGGCTAATGATGGGATAGGGTTGAGGGGCGATGGAGACCGCCATCACATTGATTTGGCGACAGCGCGATTCACTTTTGTCCTAGCTCAGGGGCGACCAAAGGAATTGATAGGCGGTCATTAGATGTCTTCAAAAGGGATTCACGATGCGGGGGGGGGGGGGGGGGTTGGCAAGGCGGCCAAACTTTGACAGAGAAATCTGGTTGTTGGCTGGATAAAGAATGGGATTCTTTCGCTTCTCATTGGGGAGGGTCAAAATGTCAATGGTTAGGTGGTTAGCACAGAGATTATGGTATTGGCGAAAGGGGCTCTTTGGAAAGCATTCAGAAGATGTAGATTTGGATATTCATCATCGCAGTCCCCTTCATCGCAGGAGAGAATCGACTGATGACAATTTGATCTTTTTTGGAGATATCCCTACGAAAAATGCATTCACAACAATCGGAATGGGTAAAAGGTATGGACACTGGAGAAATTGGGAAGCGGAAATTATTGTTGGGGCTTAGCAACTGGCGACGATGAAGAAACATCGAAGAGGGAACACGAAGAAATGAGAATTGGCAGAAATTGACAGCGATAGGTAATATGGAACAAGTTTTTGATGGGGGGAAGAGTAGGTGGGAATCGTCTCAACAAAACTGGCGTGCCAAGGTGCTGAAACGCGGTGGAAGATCAGAGAGGACGTTGATGCGCAAATATGATGATTCTGGGGATTCACTGCTACCATCTGATGCTTTATGTTTTGAGATCGAGAGCAAACTTTTTCTTTCGACATTCACCAAAATAATATCCAAATTTTGCAGAGAAAACTCCTTTGGATGCAACAAATGTTATAGGAGTGGATGCAACAAGTTGGATGATTACAAATATAGAATCAATTCAATATGCTAAGGTACGAAATTTCTACAACATTGGCGATCTCCACAGGGTCTAATTGTTTTGGAAGATTTTTGTGTATTGTGGAAAGAAGGGTGTGAGATCATTCTACCCTAACAGAGGGTAGGAATGCAAATGGTTTCTGCCAATCTACTTCAAAACTCTCAAAAGCTTTGGTTCTGCTTGAGGAGAAGATGAAAATAAATGTAGAACGAGCTGATATGCCGCTAGAGTGTATTCATATGAGTCAGCCACTCAAAAAAAGGGAGGGGGGCTAACTTGTGGAGTGAGCGAGCTCAGTCACTCCAATTTTGGTAAAAACCTTTGTTTGAATGTGTTCCACACGAATATGTGCTCCATTAAAAATACTAATTAAATTCTTCTTCTTACTTTGTTTCGGACAGACACAGAAACAAGTAGAGTCAAAAACAACTTTTATGTCTCTACCATTCTCTACATTGTTCAAAAGAAGGCAAACATAAACTCTTAACCAGTCGAAACCGGTCAGGACACCAAAGCAAACTTCCCACACCCAAGTGAGACAAAACACCATGGAGCGTCAGTGCCCTGGAAAGAAACCACATAAGACATAACAAACACAACAACAAAAGAAGAACATTCAAATTTGGTCATACCCTTACAAAAAATGTTAGAGATTGGATTTCACCATTCTCCAACAGAATTAGTGGATCCAACAAAATGCCTGGATGGTGACCCTAATTGAGGGAATTGTCAACAACAGATGTTCGGGAAAGCCTCACGTGACAGAGAAGCACTTGGACAAGAACATCTGTCTGAAGAGGCCTTCAATGACCCAATTAGAGACAATGTCAGTGAGACGACGACATTAATCGACAATAGTTGGCCGTGAAAGCCACATGCAGTGGAGCATGACCTGGACAACAGTAGCCTCCAGATGCCCTAAAGCTATGTGTCTATCTATAATAAGAATATTTTTTAATTGAACTCATTTTAATTCTAGACAATACCATATCAAACTTGAGCAGCCCTACCAGACTTTGATAGTTGAAAATTACATATAGAAAATACACCTACCATACCAGTTTAGAACAGAGCAGACCAGACCAGACTTAAACATACTAGATCAAAGTTTGACAATTGTAAACTACACATAGACCAAACATCTATCAGACCAGACCACTTTGGCCAAGAAAATTTCAATCCATTTAAACATTAATTTATTTGGATTTAGATCAATGTTCCAATATTATCTAGTTTCTATTTAGATCAATGTGTCAATTAAGCATTGTTTGTATAAGGGTAGTTTTTTTAATAAACTTACTCAATTGATTAAATCGATCTATTTTAGTTTATTTCTAAAGTTTCCTTACCAATGACCGATCACATTTTTTGACACAACTAATAGTCATCTATTCTATCATGGTTACAAAGTAAAAATGATATTGATCCTTTATCATATATAAATGACTGCATTAGGTTTTTAATAACTAGATAAAAAACATGTTTCCAATTTAGTTGTAGGTAAATAAGACTTAATAACTTGGAGATAACTAGATAAGGAGTGTGTATTTATTTTAAGTTTTGTATTCATATGAGATTTTAATAGACATTTTAGTATTTTCACAAATCTCATCGGTAGGGGTGAGATTTCCCTTTGTGTTTTGCTGGTAAAGTGTCACAAAATTCCAATTTTAAATGAAACGCAAAGCTTCAATTCCAGGACATTTGAAATACACATGGACATTTTAAGATTTCAAAAATGTTTTAAAATGTCTCAATTAATTACACTGATTTGTAAAATACTCAAATGTCCTAAAAAGTCCCAAATTAATACACCCCTAAATCATTTCTAGGTTAAAAATAAAGAGGCCCTAAAGTTTTTCCTGTATATGCCCGTTATTCATCTTCATCACTATGCACCTTCAGTCCAACGGTCCAACCGAGCATTACTTCATCTAAGGTCCTTCTGCATGGTGTTACCGTTAATTATTTTCACAACTAGGTGTGGTTCGGTACGGTATACCGAATATTTTCTCTCATACCTTTGCCCTACCAAAACTTTCGATATACAAAATTATATACCCG